TGAAACCTTTCAGCTGGAGTTACAAAACCGTTTTCAGTGCCTAGAAGTATGCAATGCAGTGGACGATATGAATGACAACTTCGTGGAAACTGTCCATGCGGTCGGAGCAAAGTTCTGCAAGACCCGCCACAGAAGAACACAAAAACTCTCCGATCACACTCTTAATCTCGTGGCTGTTAGACGGGAAATGAGGCTGCAGTCTTCCGTAGATTTGATAGCATACAGGCAACGGAACTGACAGATCTCCAAATGCATGCGGTCACTTAGGCGACTTTAATACTGCTCATATTGATGAAGCGATCGAGCGGAACCAGGGCTCCAAAGTCTTTGCTAGAGATCTGTCTGCAGAAAGAGCCAACTGTCGAAGCTGAAGACCGATTGTGGCAGCGTCGCTTCCGGGACACCTGAGATTTTGAGTGAGATTGAGAGGGTCTATGGGCAGCTGTACACATCATCGTTGGAACCACACGCAATTGTGAGTAACGATCCAAGAGTAAGTCTTATCCGACACTATTCCGATGATATTCCGGACGTCAATCTGAGCGAGATTAGAATAGCTCTCCAGCACCTTAATAACGGCAAGGCTGGGCAGCGGTAAGGAAATTACGGCACATTTTCTCGTCAGGTATACCTCAAAACTTGAAAACTAGACTTTTCAAACAGTGCGTGTTGCCAGTGATGACCTATGGAACTGAGACGTGGTCCTTCACTACTGGCTCAAGCTCAAGGTCGCTCAGCGAGCTATGGAGAGGGCTATGTTCGCGGTTTCTTTGCGTGAAGAACTTAGAAATGAGGATATCAGCAGTAGAACCAGAGTGACCGACATAGCCCAAAGAATTAGTAAGCTGAAGTGGCAATGGGCCGGCCATATAGCTCGAAAAACCGACAACCGATGGGGAAACAAGGTCCTCGAGTGGCGGCCTCGTACCTGCGGACGAAGTGTAGGGCGTCCCTGTACTAGATGGAGTGACAACCTGGTGAGAGATGCAGGAAGTCGATGGATGCAGGTGGCTCAAGACCGTACTTTGTGGCATTCCTTGGAGGAGCCCTATGTTCAGCGGTGGATTTGTGATGGGCTGTAATGAAGTTACTGATGTTCTAAGAAGTAACTTACTATCTGCCAGTGAAAGTCCGGTCAAAATCGGTCCAGCCGTTTCGGAGATTAGCCGGAACAAACAAACAGATAGACAGACAGAAAGACAGACAGACCAAAATTTTAAAAATCGTCTTTTTGTTATAAGTACCGTATATACTTTCATATGCCTATAGTAAAAAGCAGTTATTTCGACATTACAAACTGACACTTCAATTTTATTTATTTGTATAGATAATAATAAATTATAAGTAAAAAGGCATTCGACTCGGTGCCTCATATATGGCTGAAGAGGGTCCTCGAGCTGTACAAGGTTGACTGTAGAGTTAGCAATTCTATTAGAATGGAGCTGGCGACGGATAAGTGTGCGGTCCTCGAATGAGTTAGAGTCGCTAACTCTGAGGGCATAGACTTATCTATGTCCATCAACATAATGTAATCAACATAGTAGGTATCGATGAGGCGGATATGAAACTGTCAGGTTGCGATGTGTTTTATGCACGCTTGACAAAAGTGCTCAACAGAATTTTGTCGGGTGTGAATAATACACACGCATGTAACGGTTGGGTCATGCCTGTTCTCATATATACCTTCGGCATACTTAGGTGGACTCAGACCGAACTGAACGCTCTGGATAGTAAAGTCCGCACTGTTATGACGTCCCACAGGATGCATCACCCGAGATCGTCGGTAATGATGCTGTACCTACCGCGGAAACATGGTGGGCGCGGCTTTTTGTGCGCTCTCACCATGCTTAATCGCGAAGTGTGCAGCCTCCGTAACTACTTCCTGGCGAGATCGGATGATCCATTCTACATTACAGATTCTTCGTGTGAAAAGGGCTTACTCCTCTATCCTTAGCCAACGAGCAATGGCAAGAACCAGCAGTACAGTGCATTTCCGACCGGGGGACCATTTAGAAGGAGAAGGAGCTCCACGGGATGTTCTACAAGGCTCTACATGAGCCTTTCGTAGACACAGCTGCCTCCCTCCACTGGCTACCTTTTGGTGACCTCTTTTGGGAAACCGAGGGTTTTGTCTGTGCAATACAGGATCAGGTTATTAAGACCAACAATTATCGGAAATACATCCTAAAGGATGGCGCCGTCGACATCTGTTGAGCTTGTTGCCATCCCGGTGAGTCACTTAGGCATGTCTCCGGTTGTTCGGCACTTTCTAACTCTGAGTATTTGTACAGACACACAGTAGCCAGGATTCTACACCAGGAGCTCGCTCTGAAATACGTTATCGTGGATCGGAAACTGCCATTTTCTAAGTACTTGCCGGAAGCCGTGCTCGAAAATGACCGCGTCAGGCTCTACTGGGACCGGGCCATCGTCACAGCCCGACTATTATTGCAAATAAGCCTGATATTGTGCTGATAGACTGGGCATAGTCAAGGATATTTTTGGTCAACATTACCATTCCTTATGACGAGAACCTCGTGAAAGCCGAAACAGATAAGCTAACAAAATATCTGGACCTGGCTCACGAGGTGACCGACATGGGGTGTGGTCTGCCGACCGAAATTATTCCTGTTGTCGTTTCTGCGAACGGGCTAATCCCGGTCAGCCTCTTAGGTCGTCTGAGGCGACTGGGACTCCGTGACGGGTCGCTCTAGGCTCAAATGCAGAAGGCGGTGCTCCTCGATACCGTCCGAATCGTCCGCCGGTTTCTTTACCTTTCCCCCTAACCCTTGGCCATTTGGTCTCCCCTGCCGAGGGCTTCCATCTGGTTGAATTTTTACTTATTTATGTATTTTTCATGTATTTATTTTATTTTATTGATATTTATGGATATTTATATCTTTCGTTTACACTTATATATAATTAAACAGCCCAAAGAGATGAGAAAACTTTATAGATAACCCAAATAATAAGTAATCAGTATAAAGAAAAAGAAGTTGAAGTTGTAAGAAATCATTATTATCGTTTAGATTATTTTATGATAGATTTTATTAATTTACTCTTTTACGGTAAACCACGGTAAACAAAAGCGAGGTAGAGAGATATACTCCGTTAAGCCACATGAGCTTAGAGTATATAATTAATAGCTTGCTTATAAAAATACTCTAAGCACACGAGTAATTTACTAGGTAGGTATTTGTTCTTTATATGTCAATTTTAAATAACACGCCATCTTTACTTGATTGTTGAAACCTGTGCTTCAAACAATGGGGGCTAATAATCTTCCGCTCACCAGAGGTCGCCAGTAGTCACAGAAATGAAGTTTTTTTTGTTACACAATGTCATTTTATTAAGAAGTTTTAAAATTTTAAAATTAAAATTTATCAGTGCTTTGCTCTTTAATTGTATGCACATTTATAACCCTTGTTTTAATTTATCTACTTTTCTGGATATCTTTGGTTTGTTTATTTATTTATTTTCTAATTAATATAAAATATAACTAATAGTACATACAGAAAGAAGCATTAATATATATATCACTCTACTTTATGCTTTACATTTTTCGAACAAATTAACTCCCCCTCTATGAAATCTGTCAAATATCACACCTAACTTATAAGTGACGTCGCCCTGATGGCAGAAACAGTTGTGGATTGATAATTTCGTCACGTAAAAAATAAAATTAAGTATGTGTATATATCTATAAGATCTGTGGGTATTTTACTTCCTTTAATAAGTATATATTTTTTTATTAATGTGATAAAAATGGCAACACTTAGTTTTAACATTGGCCTAAAGGTCTAGATGTCAGTCCATAAACTCCAAAAAAAGAAATTAAATTTTGCTGCATTTTGAAGCCTGGCAACACAAACCAGGTCAATCAAGAAAGTGCAGTCTATCTGATTGCGATTATTGTTTTTTATTATTTTTAATAAATTAAATGCAGCCGAGTAAATCGGTCAATACCGATTATTTGTTCAAGATGATCTGGAGATAAGAACGTGTAATGTTACGCGGAAGTGCAAGTGAGTTTATCAGGACAGGAACAGCAGACAGGTGTGACAGCAATAGTGAATACCGCATAGGATTTATTTCATATGTAATTTCAATTCTAATTAAAATTACAAATATAGGAAAATATGAGTTTTGACTTTGTTAGAAGGTTGTCTGTTATAATTACCGTACTTTATTCTATTTAAAAATTGTCGTAATATCTGACCCAGATTCGGTGCCGTGTGGGTTGACCTATTGGATTTGAATGCGGACTTAGCAATGATGTTATTTTTAGGATACGGCTTTGCAGATATTTAAATATTTATAGATACTGCTCTATAATGTAGAATAAGAAAATTTATGCACAACACTCGTCGCGATTTATTCCTGTAAGGAAATGGTAAGTTCTTTGTTTAAACCTTGATGTTTTTATTTATATTCCTTTTGTATATAAAAATATTTTTGTAGAACATTAGCTGACAAATTGACTGTAAATTATGTATATTGTCTGTGTGTTTTAATATACAGAAAACAGGACAAAGTATTTCTATAAGCTAATTATAGTATAACTCTTTTTATCATTATTAATTTATGATATTTTTTCACTATTTATAGATGAGAGGATAGAACATGTCCCAAAAATACGCATTTTAAAATAAGTTCCACTTAATCTTAAAGTTATGGAGTTGAATTCAACGTAGAATACTCCAATCTAATTATAATATGGTTGTCACAACAAATATATTAAACAAAGATGTAAATGTACAATATAAACAAAATTGACAATTTTAATATAATCCTGAAATACATATCATATAAACAACTAAATAAAATGAAGACCCATTTAATGCTGTTGTCTCAATGAGTTGAGATAAAAATTAAGTAAAATACAATGGTTACTTAAAAAATATATGATTGGATGCAATATGGGATTGAGAAGCTAAGTCTCGATTGCGGACTGTTGGTGACGGGGCCTAGAGCCCTACGGCCTTTGTGACTTGGCAGTGATGAAGAAGCAAAATGTTCGCACTCTATCTTTAATTGTGTGCACATTCACATACTTACTTGTTGGTGCAGCTGTGTTTGATGCATTGGAGTCTACAACTGAACGCAATAGATTTGAAGTTTTACAAGGTATGCTTAATTAACAATGTTCAATTCTTTTTAAAATTTGTAGCAAAATATAAGAATTATATTTTAAACATTTGTCAAAAGTTATAAACAGATAATGATTACTTTCGTATTGGAATAATAATTGTCTTTAAAATAGTGGAATAAGCTAGAACTTAGATAAAAGTGATGAAAATATGTGTTGTAATTAAAATTTCATAATATAATTAAGTCCTTTGACAATGAAGTGAAAAATTAACATATAGTCCCATCATGGTAAGTAGCAATTGTAGTCAGTGGACACCTGCAGCCAACTTCAAACGGAGAAGGCTACAGGTTTTAGTGTAAAATAGCAGCTTAATGCTGCTGTATTTTGTATGGTGAGTGTAGAAAACCGGAGACCCTTTTACAGGACAAGAGGCATTGAAATATATGTGTTTTTAGATTCATTTTGTGTGCATTTGCAATCTATCAACCACTCTTTGAAAATGTACTATAATATTTATTTCATAGGATAAGGGTGACAAGCGAGCACACAGTCCACCTGATGGTAAGTGGTTTCTGTGGCCCATAGACATCTACATCTATCCTCATTTGTGAATCGAAATGCAGATGCATTGTCAGCCTTGAGAACTAAGATGGAATGCCTGTTATCCATTAAAAAGGGTCTCTGGTTCTCTACACTCAGCATACGAAACACAGCAGTGTTAAGCTGCTATTTTATGCTGGTATTCTGTGAGAGCGTGGTCCTTCCCTGGTTGAGCTGACCCATTTATGCTACAACTATACTATTAATATAGCTGCAGCATGGCTCTACCACATATATAAATCCCTTAATGTATTAGGATTTCCTTAAACAATTTCATTAATAATTTATATTCTGTGTGAACATTATGATAAATTGTATTGTTTTTCTATTCTTCATCTCTGGTATCAGTCTACAACTGGAATTGGGTTGGCTTAAAATTGGGAATATTTTCTACAATTACTATACTTGGGAGCCAAATAAATTATCGCAGTAACAGATTTGAAAATGTGACAAATCCCCCTGTGGTATGTTGGGTAATTTTGGCCAGGTATTATCATGTTATGCCAGCGTAGGAGAATCAACTACCCAAAATTATCCTGTAGTTGTTATAAGAGGCAACTGAGGGAAACAGAATCAAATGATGGGTGGCATCTTCCTGATAACAATTTTTTTTTATAGGATAAGTGTGACAAACGTGCACACAGTCCACCTGATGGTAAGTGGTTGCTGCAGCCCATAGACATCCACATCTATCTTCTATTACAAATCAAAATGTAGATGCGTTGTCACCCGTGAGGACCAAGATGGAATGCCTCATTTCCAGTAAAAAGGGCCTCCGGGCACCTGCACTCACCAAGCGAAACGCAGAGGTAAACCTCTACTTCACGCTGGTTTTCTGTGAGGTCGTGGTACCACCCCGGTTCGAGCCGGCCCATCCGTGTGACAGCAAAAGCTGCAGCGTGGCTCTACCACTGTTTAATAAAAACTGAAACTATGAGAAATATCTTCATAAGAGACAATCTATGGTGAAGTCTATCTTCAACAGTGGAATATGGAGAGGGAGTAATTAATGAAAAAAAAAATTAAGCCATCAGTTGAAAGTCACAAGATCATAATATAATGTAAAGTAACTCATTAATATGTAGCATTATTATCATTTATACTTTACGTGGTAGAGCCAAGTGAACCTAGCTATATTATGGTTGTGGCACAGATGGGCCGGCTCGACCAGGAAACGACCGCACTCTCACAGAATACCAGCGTAAAATAACAACCATCAGGTTCACTATGTGCTCGTTTGTCACCCTTATTCTACAAAAAAGAAATTATGTCATGTAAAGTTCTTAACATGTCTGTATTGACATTAGTCCTGTAATTGTTTTCTTGCAGCAATAGAGGGCATGATAATAAGAAAATATAACATCACAGAGGAAGACTTCAGAGTTATGGAGACGGTTGTGCTCAAATCTGAGCCGCATAAGGCTGGCCAGCAGTGGAAGTTTACTGGGGCATTTTACTATGCCACTACTGTACTTACTACAATTGGTGAGTAGCTTTTATGTTTTTGATAAAGTAATTGTTGTTTGTACGTTTGCATGGTGTCTAATATTTATTTATTAATTTATTTAAGAAGAAACATAATATGCAACTCACAAACAAATCAAATGTAACGTAATTTATAACAACTTTAGTTTTTCGTGATATAGTTGCACAATTTGAGGTAAGGCAAGAGTGTAGACATTGTCTAATTTAAAGCATGCCCTTTCTATAGCGTTTTATTAGATTTTTACTATTTTTTGGCGTGTGCAGTTTTAAATTAGACAATCTCTATTATGTTTGAACATAAGAAGTGAAGCACTATTGCTTTTGTTGTAAAAAAACAACTTGGATACAGTCAAAACAAAGTGTTGGTAAGCACAATGCTTATACCCTCTCACTTGTAATACTGATCTTCATCAACAGGCTGTGGGATTTAGGTTTGGCCATTTAAAATGAGGCTGTAAATTGAAGTTCTGTTAGTGCTGTGGTGGTAGTAGTAATGTGTTAGCCCGGTTAAGAATTTAGTTTTCAGATACTGGCACAAATTAAATTGTTTATTGCAATTTTAAGTGCTGAATTAGTATTGATTGATTACTTTGCTCGGTGGGTATATACGGCGGCGGACTAATTGCTTCATAAATGAGAGAAGGCCTGTGACCAGTAGGACCTTAGCAGGGGCATTTGGTTGTAAATTTAATATGTGCTCAAGATTAGTTGAAAAATTTTTTTCATGTTTTCTTTTTGTACACTATGATCTTGAACCATAATATCTCTTGTAATAAATTATATTATTACAACTATGGTCACTATAAATGAAAAAATGGTAAATTTCATGTTACTATTAGCTTTTTTTGATAATTTTAGGTCTCAGAATTTCATCAGTTTTATATAACATTTCTATTAAATTAATGAAAAATTATGTTAAAGTTCAAAGGACGAGTAGTGTACCCCCCCCGCTAAGTAAAGATTAAGCACGTTTTTTTGTTTGTATTTTTTTTAATAAAGTAAAAGAAGATAAAAGTTTATTTTGGAGTGTGACCCCCTGTTGCTGAAATCACAGCGTCTGGGCTTGCTGGCGATTATATCTCTTATGGTTTCTTGCGAAATATGTTCCTATTCCGAAGTAACTACATCCTTTAGAACTCTGATGGTCAGCGGAGCTGGATTTCGCTCGTCGTTTCAGGACGTCCCAGACGTATTCTCTGGGATTCAGGTCGGGATTTCAAGCTAGCCAATCTAAACGAGGAATTCTGACTTGTAGCATATACGCTTCCACATCGCCAGACCAGTGGATGTGCGAGCATTGTCGTCCATAATAATTTGAGTTTTCGCCAAGAGTGACCAATGCAGGTTGTATATGGAATTAGAACTTCCTTTATGTAATGGTGTATAGTCGGTGTGCTGTTTTCGAAGAAAACTAACTCAGTGCGATCCAATGAATTTATTCCTACCCAAAACATAACAGAGTCCCCACCATAATGTGTAAAGTCTTCAATACATGTCTCTGCAAAGCATTCTCCTTGTCTTCATAGCACTGGCCGACGTTGGTCTTCACATATACAGAGATATGCTGACTTAATTGGAGAACAATACCATATCCCAGTCTTCTTGATTCTATGCCTCACAATTCCGAGCAAAGCTAAGTTTGGCTACTGGATGCTCATGGAGTAATTTAAGGCCGCGGGCTAGGAGATGACTGCGTATATTGTCAGCAAGAAGCCTCCTCCTGACCATCTATAGACTAATTTGTACATTTTTTACTTCTTCGAGGTTGTTCTTGAGATCCACATACCAAGAATACAACAATACAATAAATACATAAGATTTGCGATTTCTCAACACTTGACTCATCAGAAAATCATCCCATGATTCGGTATATGGCTTTATTCCATAACCAGGTTTCTTGATAGCGCTGCCAGGTCCTTTGGACTGTTGAATCTCTCACATTTATCCTCTGAGCCACGAAACATTAGCTGCAATCCTCCTCAAGCAATGCAATAATTTTGCTGGCTTTTATTACTTTATCTCTTATTTTTGCGACAGTATTGTTTAGCTTTACAGCAATAAAAATACTTTAAAATGTCAAGGAAAGGGGATGATTTAATAATAATAGACTAAAAGTTACAGAAGATATAAATTTCGCGCCACAAAATGTAGTTAAAAGTTGTTTTCTTTAAAAACCAACATGAGGCAAAAATTTGAAATTGGAATGTACCTTTTTAAACACCACGGCACTTTTATATCCGGCCAGTCGCATGTGCATATGATTAAAACCTTCATCGCCCGCGCGTTTTTTTGCAAATGTGTTTATATCTACAGCTTGTTACAACTGTGTATATATATTTACCTACACATTAATATATTATACTGATTTGTTTATATTTGTTAATTAACAGGTTATGGGCACTCGACTCCATCGACAGTCGGAGGCAAGTTGTTCACGATGTTCTACGCCATTGTTGGTATTCCACTTGGTCTCATCATGTTCCAAAGTATCGGTGAGCGTGTTAACAGGCTTAGTAGGTAAGTTCCTTTTTATTATTAAATTATTTCATGGTCTTTTTAATAACATAGTTTCATTTATAGTAATTCTTGACAGAAAAACGAAAACAATTACATGAAATCCTTAAAGCAATTTTTTTATTAATTAAATACATATTAATCACGGTATTAGTAACTTAAATCTAGAAAAACCTAATAAAACACTTTCATCAATAAAATTGTGTTTCTAGGGTTGTCAATTTACCATTATAGTATCCAAAACATTCGAAATTTGAAATTATTTCGAAATTTTTTAAGGGTTGGACCACACCAAATGCGTGTTTGGAGTGCTCTTCAGCCATTTAGGTTATATACTTCATATTGATTAGTTAGTTTGAAATATTGATGATTGTGTGGACTGCCTCGTTGATCTAGTGGTCATAAGTGCGACTGCTGATCATTTTGGTAACGAGTTTAATTCCTGGCTCGGTTCAAATATTAGTTATTGGGAATTTTTTTTAAGAAATTTTTAGTAGCAACCTGGAGTTCGGAATTTGGTTGTGTTTCACCCCTTGCCTCAGGAAGCACGCGAAGCCGTTGGTTCTGCGCCGCCTGATCTCTCAAGGACTATAATAGTGAGCGCATATAAAGTGCACACACTTCTGTCATGCGCAGATAGATGTCTCCGTTGAGACTGACTTGAGACATTATTGACTACTGTTTGGCGTTATCTATACATATAAATAAAATTGAAGTGTCTGTTTGTAATGTCAAAATTGCAGCTTTTTACTAAATGCATATGAAAGTATATACGGTACTAATAACAAAAATACAATTTTTAAAGTTTTTGTCTGTCTGTCTGTCTGTTTGTCCGTCTGTCTGTCTGTTTGTTCTGGCTTATCTCCGAAACGGCTGGACCGATTTTGATGGGATTTTTTCTGGCAGATAGCTGATGTCACAAGGAGTAACTTAGGCTACTTTTATTTTAGAAAAAGAATTTAGAAATTAAAACTCCAAATAACACGCGGGTGAAGTCGCGTGTAACAGCTAGTTTAGGTATAAAAATAATCAAAACCCATTTTTTTTTTTTTATAGAAATAGGGTGACAAACGAGCACACAGTCCACCTGATGGTAAGTGGTTGCTGTGGCCCATAGACATCTACATTTATCAAAATGCAGATGCGTTGTCAGCCTTGAGGACTAAGATGAAATGCCTCTTTTCCAGTAAAAAGGGTCTCCGGTTCTCTACACTCACCATACGAAACACAGCAGCATGAAGCTGCTATTTTACGCTGGTATTCTGTGAGAGCGTGGTCCTTCCCCGGTCGAGCCGACCCATTCGTGCTACAACTACACTACTAATATAGCTGCAGCATGGCTCTACCACGTAGAACCCATGTGTTTTATCAATGTTTCCTTAAAGAAAACTCCAAAATTTTCGAATAAAATATAGTCTAGATCACTCCTGGCATGACTCTCTTAACTGTTCGTGAAGTTTCATTACAATCAGTTCAGCCATTCCGACAATTAGCCAGAAAAAACAGACAGATAGACAATTTTAAAATAGTTATTCATGTTTAAATGACATATAAATAACCCCCTCAGCTTAACACAAGGCAGTTATTTCAATATTATTGACGGATATTCCATAATTTTATTTATATGTATAGAACAGTTGACTTAGATTTCAAAAAAGAGTAGAAAGTTACAAAAAAAAAATTAAAAAAAAAATTCAAATAGTTTGTATTGAAAAGTTGTAATTATTTGTTCGCAGCGTCATTATAAAAGCATTAAAGCGCGCATTGAACTGCAAACAAACCCACGCGTCGGAGGTGGACTTGATCTGTGTGGTGACCACTCTGTCATCTCTAACCATCGCGGGTGGGGCCGCTGCGTTCTCAAAGTTTGAGGGCTGGAGTTACTTTGACAGTGTTTACTATTGTTTTATAACGCTGACTACTATCGGTGAGTATTGCTAAGGGATTGTTAAAGCTATATTTAAATTGAACGGATAGTTTTCTAATAATAGATATCTATTTCTAATAATAGAGTGACAAAGAAGTTAACAACCCTTTTGGTAATTAACAACCACGGCAACCCATGGATACCTGCAAACAAATTTAGCCATAAACAGCTAGCCAACCAATTTAAGCTTGTTCCTTTTTTTACAAAATTGAAGTGACAAACGGATTCTTTATCATCAGCCCGATGCCGTACATTGGACATGGACACCTTTCTTTATTAACCTTGCATTAATGAAAGATTGTATGTTCTTGTATCAGATGTATCATACCTTCATTATTCTGGGTATTTTACATCCGCGGAGTTTGCTGAACACACAGTCCGCCTGAAGGTAACTGTGGCCCATAGACATCTTAATTGAGAATCAAAATGCAGATGCGTTGTCACCACTGAGGACTAAGATAGAATACCTCATTTCAAGTGAAAAAGGTCTCTGGTTCTCTACACTCTCCATACAAAACACAGCAACATTAAACTGCTATTTTATGCTGGTATTCTGTGAGAATGTGGTCCTACCCTGGTCGAGCCGACCCTTTTGTGCTACTACCATAACGTATCTGTAGAGTGGCTCTACCACGTTTACCTTCAAATATGTTATTCCTCATCATCATCATTCCAAGTTATTATTACTATATTTAGTATCATAGAAAGTCATCTTTGTTATCTCCGCTGATCCACCATCTTATGTCAACTCTTCTAACTCTTTCGTAACTTTATAGGCTTCGGTGACATGGTGGCCCTGCAGAAGGACAACGCGCTTAACCGCAAGCCCTCCTATGTGATGTTTGCTTTAATATTCATTTTGTTCGGGCTCGCGATAGTGGCGGCCTGTTTGAACTTGTTGGTGTTGCGCTTCGTCACTATGAACACCGAGGACGAAAAGCGGGATCAGCAGCAAGCAGAACAGGTAATTTATTTAATTGTTAATACTTATTTAAATTGTTTTAAAAATAAAGGACGCAAAGGACGGACTTAATGCTAAATAGTAAGATTTAGATGTAGGCTTTGCAAAAAAAAAAATAATAATACAGTAGGTATTCATCTTTTTTGTAACATACAGATAGTAACTGGCCATTGTCAGCAGCCTGCAAACTTTATACTAAGAATCAACCAGAACTAAGGTATACCAATATGTGATGTGTGATGAGACCCGTCACAATAATGTCCTTTTCAATGTTAACTCCTAGGCATAGGTTCTTCCAAATAAGTACCAGTTGGCATGCATCGCTTGAGAGATTGCGAGATCGCAATTGTCTTAACTATATGGGGTGACGCCTGGTAAGACATGCAGGAAGTCGATGGATGCAGGTGTAAACGCGTCAATAACAGTCAACTAAAATGCATCAACAAAAATAAAATGTCACTTACATGCAATTTTCCATACCTTTCTTTATAGTTCACACTTCTCTGCGTGAGAAATCAACATTTAAATTCGTGATTAACAATTTCTGTGGTGCCGACAGGGGTCGAACTCGGGTTCGTCGGGTACTATGAAATTTCAGCTGGAGCGAGTGTCTCGGCCCATGAGTTACCAGGGCTCTTTAAAATAAACTATGTTTGTTGTTGTTGTTCTATGTTAATATTTTGGATCCGCCATTCGACTGCTACAATAGTGCTACAACCATAATGGCGCCGATATACCAATATAGCATGCTGATCTGCTGACCGCATTTTATTAATTGCAAATTAGTTATATTAAAATTATTTTTGTCGCAGGCCCAGCAAGTGGCAGTGCGTCTAGAGGGTGACGTGATCACTGCAGATGGCGCAGTGCTGCGGGGAGTGGCGCGGGGAACTCGTCTGCCCGCCGCCCCACCACGAGATCACCCAGGTACAACACGCTATGAAATGAAATCATTCATTTATTCATTATCAGTTCGCATTTTTATAGCAAAAAGCGTAACTTGTGAAAATGAAGAAGGCATAGGCCCAAATATAACTAAAAATACCACAAAATTAAATCTCGTAAGCTGACAATGAAAAAAACAGCTTCAAGGAATACATGAATGAAAATAAACCCTGGGAATGATGAGGTTATCGTTACCGTGCTGGTTCTATGAAAATTTTAAAAATTGTACAAAAAAAATTATTGTAAAGTGAAATATGTTAAAAAAAGTCCTGCTGGGTTTCTTGCTGGTTCTTCCCAGGACAGAGGTATTTTCCGAACCAGTGGTAAATAAAAAATTGACTTGCAATAAGTATTATGTAATAATCAATATTGAATTAAAATAAAAATTCTATTCTCTTCTATTCTACAAAGTTAAAAAGAAGGATTTGGCTCGAAGATAACTAAAATACACTAGAATATAGCTTGTAAGCTTACGAAAGTTAAAAAAGGAATAGGCTCTAAGACAGCTAATAATACCACTAAATTAAAGCTCATAAGCTTATAAAAGTTAGAAAAAAATCGGCCAAGTGCGAGTCGGACTCGCGCACCGAGGGTTCCGAACAAATCTGTAGGTATATAACTTTAAAATTATTAAAAATATTTTTATTACAATATGATGTAACTAAAAATTTATGCTTTTCGCAATTTTTCCTTTATTTGTGCTCTAATACGTTGCTTCGTACCAAATTTTATGATTCTGAGTTCACGGGAAGTACCCTGTAGGTTTTGATTCCCATAAACGGCTGTTATCTTTTGATTGCGTTGACTTAGAATTTTGATCTTTTCACAGCTTCAAGGGACAGTAGACTTGAGTATTTGATATGAATTTCAGCTTGATACAAAGAATATTGATAAAAAGGGTCTTGACAGACAGACAGACGGACAACAAAGTGATCCTATAAGGGTTCCGTTTTTTCCCTTTTTAGGTACGGAACCCTAAAAAGAATAGGCTCAATGATAACTATAAATAACACAAAATTAAAGCTTGTAAACTTAAGAATATTAAAAATAACATTAAATTAAATCTCGTTAAAGTTCTTTAAACCTGATTAGAGCAGCCTCTGCAGTTGGACAGGCAAATGGCATTCAAATAAAGAAAGGATATAAATTGGATGATTATTTATAACATAAGAAAGTATGGACTCAAATTCCTTAGGCTTTTATGACTTGTTAATTATTTAAAATAAACTTTTAACTAAAATAATAAGGAGTTAATATTCATATCATCAAAGGTAAACTAAAAACTAATAACAAGAGAAAAAGAATGATAAATCTAATTAGAATAAACAGGACAAATTTGTTCCTTAGAAAATAATTTAATAGCATTCGAAAAAGTTTGTAATATTTCTATATACCCAACTTTATTTGAACCTTTTCGTTATTATTAATACCATATACATATTATATTAATACCAATAAAATTAAAATTAATACCCCCAAAATTATTATAAATATATATTTTTATCATCACTTACTACATATATAATTTGATTATATATTTATGACTTCTAAAGTCATTACATTTTCTCTGTCAAAATAGTTATATTTAAATCAATTATTAGCTTACGATATTTTACTAGTGCGCGGTGTCTCTATATCTGCCTTTAAGTTGTAATGTCCAGATAGTCATGACCCGCGCTTCTTATGAGATCTCATAACATGGAGAGCTAAACTATCACATGGAAACCTTCTCATACTTCCGAATGACAATTGTCACAAATTTGAAGTTACAACTTACGCATTTCGAATAGTGAAAAAGCGCCCTTACATTTTTTCTTATCGTACTTCACTACATTTATCCTCCTTCAATAAATATTTTTCTATTACAGCTGCATTACTGTTACAGAGTACGTGTAACTCCTTCCCTCCTTATTTTCCGTGCTCAATCACATTTTTTCTTCAAAAATGTACCGAAAGCTTATTAGTTGGAACTCTAAGGCACTGCGCAAACCTAGACACTTTTGTGTCTTGTGTGGGATACAAGCTACCTATGAATATTTTATTTTCATGTAATCAATATGAAATCAGTCATTCCTTGCGCAGACGTAGACGCTTTGTGTCCAGTTGTTTCCACTTGACACATACCGACCGCCGATCAAAAAGTGTTCGGCGTCGGTCACTGGAAACTTTAAATCGTCAGTTGCAGACACAATCAATACATAGTGAATTTCCTTACAATTGTACGGCGCTGACATTGACGTGGTTGATTTGCCTTGTAAATATTGACGGCGACGACGTCTGCGACAATGTGTAATCAACACAACAAGCAAAGATAATGTTCCTTCATCGACATCCAAGGTGAAACTGACGGAAAACAAGCAAGGAATTGTTACCAGTGACCAGAAGTAGCAACCTGCGACTGTATCCGGTTGCCGCTAGCGGACACAGTAACGACGGTTTCCTGTGATGTGTGCCGTGTCGGTAACAAAAAGTGTCCACGTTTGTGCAGCGCCTAATATTTACTTACACTTCCCGTCGTTTCTTGTATCAATACTACTTTACTCAACACTGTCATCATCTTGTGATATTATTTATATTTTTTTATTTGACCCTATAATCTATGTACACCTCTCACATTTTTTTAATAACTTGCTTTATGGCTCTGGGATCTAGCCTTTCTGAGCCTGAAGTTACAATATATTATAATTATCCTTCATAGTATAATGCTTCACAATATGTTGATGCGTCACATTGTGCAGCCCTTGGGAGATTTTGACGGCAACTTAGCCAGCATACAGCTGACGGTTGGCGATGGTATCTCAAGGTGCCTAAGCAGACAGACACCTTATTTTGAGAATCACATCACCATCAGACACTTGTTTCACAGTTTCCACTAATAGTTCACATGCGCAGACACTTAATACACAAACTCGCACCACTTTTACATATCAAAGTCAACTTCAAACCATTATTTCAACAGTAATACAGGAGCAACAAACCGCCGCCGGTCAAGTTCCCGCCAAAACTCACACTTCTCACATAATCATTGCAGGTTTCTTCACGATATTTTCCTTCACTGCCGAGCACGTGGTAAATGAGCATTTAAAATTGCAATTAACTATTTCATTGGTGCGGCGCGAATCGAACCCGGGTTGCTCGCGTAGTGTGATATTTACAGCGAGCCTACCTACCTCCGACCTACCATGGCTCACAAAATCATTTGTTGCGAAAAATTATTTGCGTAGTAAGGTATAGTTTAGTCAATTTTATAGCTTTCGTTCCCTATTTAACCCTTTAAGGGTAATCCTAATCCTTTCGTATAATTAAAAAAGTATACGAATATCCTTAAACATTTGAGTGCAATAAAGATTTTTAAATAAATAAATAAACACGTGTTACATAGTTCCTAATCGAAAATCTTCAGTGAAAGAATCACCCTCGTACATACCTCACTCTGAATAGTCGCCTTTTACGTTTAATTAGACTGTTTAATGCAGTGTACAGACTTACGCAACGTAACATGAAAAGTAACTTGAAATTAAAGAATTTTCCATCCACATTAGTGCAATGTAACACACTTTGTAACAAATTTTTATAGTAACATTTCATGCGCACGCTACGAGAATTTCAAGTGATTTGTCGGTTTTTCGAACGAATACAAGAGCGCGCTGTGTGCTCAGAGCGTCAGTGCGGGCTGGTTGTGTTGAGACGCGCGCGAACACGAAGTGAACACGTGCTGATATCTCATGTCGGCCAGTGATTCTGCACCAGCTGTCTGTCTGTACAACTCTGTACGACACCAATGTCGAAGTCTTCGGCGTTTTTTTTAAGACCTCAGAGCTCAAGAGTCAGCAATTGGTCGTCACACTCCATTCTTTTCGCGTGTTCTTAGCAGACTGACGATACTTTCGCGTGCACGGCGGAAACAGATTTGAGTAGATACATGTTCGGTTGGTGCACGCACTACATACACACTGATGAAATGCACTTTTCACGTTACATTGCATGTTATCTTTCATTAAGCATAATAATGTAACTTGATTTTTAATTTATTTTGAAACAAAGTAAACATTTTTTTTACGTGGTAGAGCCACGCTGCAGCTATATTAGTAGTACTAGTATAGTTGTAGCACGAATGGGTCGGCTCGACCGGGGAAGGACCACGCTCTCACAGAATACCAGCGTCAAATAGCAGTTTAACGCTGCTGTGTTTCGTATTGTGAGTGTAGAGAACCGGAGACCCTTTTTACTGGAAAAGAGGCATTCCAACTTAGTCCTCACGAGTGACAAAGCATCTGCGTTTTGATTCGCAAACGAAGATAAATGTAGATGTCCATGGGCCACAGCATCCACTTACCATCAGGTGGACTGTGTGCTCGTTTGTCACTCGATCCCATAAAAAAAACATCTTTCTTCTTTCTCACATTTAGGGTTGACATGGCTATACACAAAAATTCGGTATAAAATAAATAATCAAAATTGTTAAAAAATATTATTGATATTTCAGGTGATACCTCCACGATACCTTTGTACGTGGACGAAGACGACGCGCCGAGTGTTTGCAGCTGCGGGTGCAATTGCTTCAACACGAACAAGTAAGCGGTACCCTTTTATAATTTTGGGAAAGGTTGACATTATGTTGCTTCTTGATTTATTTATTGTTACTTTCTGTTTACCTACACGCCATTGTTAATAATTAACATTGTAAAAATATTATTTCAGATCTATAACATACAGAGATCCGCTATCTCCAGTTCCACCGACCAACATTAAGCAGATAAAATCTAAGAACTATCGCGAGTTAGGTGGCCTTCCGCGATACATTGAAAAGTCTTCCTCTAAAAACCAATCTCAAACATTGCGACTTAACTCAGCATCCGGCTATCTTTACATGAACGCGAGAAATGACTTCACACTAGATCCCGAAGACTTCAGGGAAATGGTGGCTAAGAGAAGGGAACAGCTGCGCCGTGGCGTAATGATGTACGAAATGCAATGCAACAACGAACAATACTTAAATCCCTACAGGAATAGCCTCAGCACCAAAATGGAAAACAGTCCTCACAGCTCCTCATTGTACTCCATGAACATAAGGTCGGACAATCGAAGCAACGATCCCTTGGTGGACGATTACGATTCGGAGAAATCCAGCTATGCGAGAAAGAAGCTCATGAAGAACATAGCAAGGAACACGAGCAACAAACGCGTAGAGAATTATTTCTACGACGATGCGGTTCTCCATTTCGACGACGAGTACGCGTTCGACGGTTCCATTCTGTTCGCGAAGAGAAGAAAATCGATCGATCCTAATTGGGACGAATTCGCTTGCGTGCTACCTAAACATCCGGCTTACGCGGACCAAGTATCGAACGATGGAAGCTATGGTTACTATTTGCCTGACGATGAAGAACAGGAACAGTACTTCGTGAACGACACGCTCACCTTTAACCTACCACCCCATAGAGCGAGTATTTAGTGAAAGTGTTGTGCCAAAGACTCGTGCCAATCTAGGTTAGTGTTACGAAACTAAAAATAAAAGGGCCAATTAAATATAAATAACGTTAGGAGACTTACAATTTTGCGGTAGTTTCGAATATTTGAACGTTATAGCTTTTACACTTAGGTCGGGGTTAGTAAATTTTTTAAATTGACGCTTCGCTTATTTGTAAATATGAGATTCAACGCATAGGGTTTTGAGATATCGAACGTAATTTCCAACAGAACCTGATTAAGCCGAAGGAAAATGTAGGCAACTGCTAATGTGTCTATCATTTAAGTGCCATGGAGAAATACCGTTTTTACGTGACTAACGAAGTTATAAAAAGAAAGAAGGAAAATTTGCCCTTAATATGGCATCTACCTCTGATTTTGTCTTTGGTTGTAATGCCTTTCGACATTGTCCGTGTTACTTTATTATTAACTTACCAGTATATGAGAATCCTTTACCCTATCTCATTTTAAATCACACTATCGAAGTTTCCGATTGACTCTGTATATACAGGGTTATTTTTCAATAACCGGCCAAAGCAGAGAATGTTCAGAATAAGTTATACAGGCAAACAGTGAAGAGAAAATAATTAAAAAAATCTCAAATAATCTGTCCTTTTTATCTTTTAAATTCAAAATGCGTGCTAATGCAATTTTTTATCTGATTTTACTGCGCACTTTAAATTGACCTACTACTAAATGGACGGCGGGTCTAGAACAAAATTCACGAAAAATGTGTCCCGAGTCAACCTAAATAAACATACGTACATGTATACAAATATAAAAAAAAACATCCTAATTGAAACCATATTGTCGTTAGTAAACTGCTCAATTTTACTTGCGACAATTTATTAGCCTATTTAACTTCAACTAGAGAAGACTCGAAATTTTCACCTTATGAAGCTTCTAGCGAAAATTACGTTAAATTGTTTTTACAATTAATATTATATGAAATAATATGTATCTAAGCATAATATTACTTTTAAATTATTCAATATTAATAGTCCTTATCGAAAATACGATACGCCTTCCTCTTTTCTTATTTTACATAAGTAGTTTTTGTATGTTTTTACAATCCAGTACGACATTTTGGACATGTTTTAAGCCGGTCGACAAAACGAACACTGGCGCGCGATGGGAACTCTTATTGCATTTTGGAACTCTTTCGGCTCGGAAACTTTTGAGCGCGAACCCGAGGTCCATTTAGTAGTAGCCAATGGGGTCGATCGGTAGACAAAAACGTTGTTGCCCATAAATCACATTCAATTTGGGATAATTTAATATAAAAGTAGAAGCCTTATTTACTTGTATTTTCAAAAACTGTAATAACGTTATATCATTATTTATATATTTGAACTTAAGTTTAAAATTTAGCTACTCTGAAAAATAACCCTGTATATGGAACTAGCTCCGTATTGGTCTAAGAGCTAGTGAGCGGCAGACTTACGGTATTTCAATAGGCTTCAGGTTTTTTTTAGTTAATCCCCTATCTGAGGGATTTTTTCTTGCTTCTCTACCAAAGTACAAAAATACACTAAAAATATTTGATATAACTGTTACCAAGGACAGATGTTATTTTGTTATGAGTAAAATAAAACTCGGACATGAGCCCTTCCTTCAAACAAAAATAGAAAAAAAGACTAGATTAGAGCGAGTGCTATAGTGCGCGCTAATGGACTCCACTGACGTTCGTTGTCTGCCTGAGTGATAGAAACTCAATATACGTCTAACATGCAAAATATACATGTCGAATAATATTATCAACAACGTATATAAATTGCAGCTTTATTATTTATTATACAAAATAACGTGAATTATAAAGAAAAAATTGCCTCAACTTATTTGCAATGATTTTGGAACCGCCATAGGTGCCTGCCAATGTTAATTTTTAAATAACTTTTATTGAATATTTCAAGATGTCAAAGCGGTAGACTTATTACTTTCACATTTTTTTCGGTCATCTTTTACACCTTTTACACCTGAGCGTTTCTATCAACCGCCGGTCAAACTAAAGAGTCCCCATTTCATGTACCTCAGGTTTAACTAAAAAAAAACGTGAATCTTATTCTGCCGCTCACTGGCTCTTAGACTATACGACCATATGTGACGTTGGCCGCTGCTCAAGCTGAATAACTCGCCCGGCGGAAGATCTGTTTCCTCTCTCCCATGAGAATAACAAGGTTGGCTAAAACAACCCAAAAAATCTTAATTTCGGGGTTGATTAGCGCTTAATTAAATTATCTCTATATCTACGTCTTTCTATCTATATATGTCATTTACTGTAAAGAAAGAAAGAGAGCAACTAAGTATTTCTTCAATTGAGATCGTTTTTTATGATTAGGGCTATCAATATTGTAGAAATGTAAAATAAATAATAAACGCATAGCAATTATGGCAATTCTTCTCGACCCTACCCAGACATACTCTTAATCTATTAAACTATCTAAAGGTGACCTTGAGATCTTCCAGACTGTATTCTTACAACCAGATGAGATTTAGTAATGGATTCTCTTACATCGCCAAAACAAGGGTGTTGGTTATTGAAAAATAAAGTTTGTTTTTGCTCAAACAAAAATATCAAAGTTTTACCCACCTACCACTAAGTCTCATTTTGACACCATTGCTTCCAAACGGTTGACTGTTTATTATATTTTAATGTATTTTTAATGTGGATCAAATAACTTTTCAAACGAAGCTAGGATAATAACTATCGTAATGACTAAGCGTTACTAGTATTACAAATCTGTAAATTCCTTCTTAAATGCTAAAATTATAGGTTACGTGTAGATAATGAAATTGAGGTCTTCTGAATTTTTTTCTTTTTTTTGTTTTCTTTAAAATGTGTGAATGTGTGGAATCGTCGAGATGTTTATACATTCGATTTGCGAACTTGTGTTGTATGCAACAGTTGCTATTCTCCTCTGGACTGCAGAAATAGAGCTTGTATTTAAAAAATAAGTCGGCTTGGCTATATGAGAGAAACTTGAAGCGACGGCATTTATAACGTTGCACAATTGGTTAGTTCTTTGTTTAGTAATCAATGATTGGTGCAAGCAACTTACGAGCAACTTACAACTTATCTTACTTACATACGTTACAATGAGGGATATAAACAAATGCAATTTGATAAATAGCGATGCTTTTGTACGTTTTGTACTTTCGTGTTCGCCTTATTTAATCCATAAATATTATAATATACTGCAATAGTCTATGTATGTTTGCAAAAAACAATACCAATAATCTTAGAGATGATCTGTCTATGATCTTCAGATCTATGTAGTAACAGAAACTTACACGATCCACGTTTATCGAGCCTTAGAAAGAGACTTTCGGCCACAATTTGCTATTTTCGACTTTGTAAAGCGTTGTCACTGTTATTTACATCTATAGGACCCTTTTTCGCTAGATTGAGGTACGTGTCTACAGGCTCGCATTGGACGGATTGTATCAAATGGATTTTAAAATCGCTTGTTTATTCAGTCTAACAAATGCGTTCACTTATCTGCAGCGGACGGACGTAATGCCAACATAATTTTTCAAAGCGGCGACTATTCCGTTGCGTGCCGTCACCGCCGGACTGTGATATTCTATTATATTCGTATGATATACTCCATGCCGCGATCTTTTCTTGAATTATGTCGTGTATTCACATATCACTTTTTTTCGTTTCTCTTCTGATAACAGACAAGTTCTTTATCGTTTTTAATTTTGATTCGCATTTAGTTTCTCATCGTTCGCTCGCTACGAAAATTCGACTACTATTGTTAAAAAATCCGATTACAAATGACGGCAATCTGGTTGCTGCGGGTGGATGTACTAACACAGAATTATACGTTTGATACGATCTATTTATTGCGTACTTTGCCAGCCTGTGGACGCGTACCATTGTTGGTCGTTTCATTTTCTTTTTAGCTTAGTTAAGACATTGCCGTCGAAAGCCATGTTAAATTTGTTTTATTCGTTTGGGAAGCACGTCATTGTTTTACAACTCTTTTCACTCAGTAGCTAAACTTTTAGTATAAGTAGAGGCACGAAAGTCTAGCCGTGACCGTCCTTGCGCATAAGTCGAAAATATTGTATCATGGGGTAGTAAGCGGGTCGCGGGGTGGGCGTGCGTCGTTCGCACGCGCTGATTGGCTCATGCGTATTGTTCGCACGCGCTGATTGGCTCTCCCTCCAGTCGTATTCGTGCAATTGAATTCGTGTGCCTCAGTACCTATGCGCAGATATCCCCTCCACGTTTCGTTCAGCGTTAGTCTTACGTGCCGCAACTTGTACTTCGTGTGACAGGGACGACGATTTACAAATGCTGTTATAGTGGATAGGCTTTTTAAAATCGATGTGAGTAATATTTACGGCCGGGTATTATAATTTATATCCAAACATAACCTTACTTGACAAATAAAATTTTGACAACATTATCATATGAAAGAAGTGCAAAATTTTCAAGTAGGTACCTATTTTAAATATTATTTTATTACTAGTTATTCATTATTGGTTTCAATTGTATCTTATTTCTATATATAGAAATGGCAAACTTATGTTTCCAATATGGAGCAACATACATAAAGGCGTTGCTATAAACATTAAAATTATTAAAATATTAAATTTTATTACTGTTGTCTCGGTTGCCAAATGAAAATGTTTTTCGCGGTCAGTTTAACTGAAGTCTGTTTTTTATATATATAAAAAAAATATTGTTTATTACATTTCCAATAGAAGCTCTAAGAAACGCTTTAAGGAGACAATTTTTTACTAGTCACGAGTACGACCCGATCCCGATTTGTTGATTGAATGTTATAAAATCTGAATTAAAATAATCTATATAATGATAAATCTCTACTCAGTATTTACCATCGACAAATATATTAATAAGATAGCATATATGCACAAAGTACCCTTCTCTAAACACACCAAAAATCCATTTTACGTTTATCGTGTAGTTATTTTTTAATTTTAAGCTTTAAGCTAACAGTGGAACTGTACTGT